CCCCGACGTGATAAGGCGCTCGGCGGGGAATCCCCCGCGGCAACTAAAATTCCACCGCCGGTGCGCCGTGACGAGAACATCAACTTGCGAAAGCCCATTTTTATGTTTGTAAGTTTAATTTATTTGTCTATAGTATGGAGGCTGTAGGACACTGTCTTTTATATGGCATTTGTATACTTTTTACGAGTATTTAAAAAAAAAGTATAACACTTCATTATCTTACAATGTAAAAATTAAGGCCTCACTGGACAGCTGAAACAATTCATTATCTTAAATTCTAGAAAAGCGTAGATGTAGTGGGTGGTTGGCGGATGCTCTGGTGTGGTTTGCTAGTTCTTTCATATCAAACATCTATCATCCTTTTCTCTCCTACTTCTTTTTTATGTTCGGTAGTACTCTTTCCAGGTACTAAACTAAAAACAAAACTAACTAAAAAAGCGTCACTGGACAACTTAATAATTTTCTGACCTGCAGCAAAGCCTCAGGGAAACCTTCCAACAGGTTCTTTCCAGGTATCCTTTTGTATGGATAGATCAGCAGTGGGGGCAGGTAGATCCCTGCAGCATTCATGCTCGCCAACACCGTGACCTGTGTCTTTGTGTTTGCTGACACTGTGTACACTGTCTAAACCCCTTTCCACGTTATCACCTAAGGGAATACAGCGTTAAAGTTTAAGCATTCCCTTTAATAGCGCTAAAAGTCGAACTCAATTATCTTATGAACATAAGTATTTGGTGTGAAGAAGTTTGCTCTTACAAGTGCATCAGTTTAAGTTAATGTGTGAGCTAAAAATGTCTGTAGTTAAATCCGAATAGTTTCCATTATAAATGTAATATTTCTGATAAAAACAGGGAATGTATAATTTATCATATTTAGCGACAAGTTCTTGTTAAATAGAGTGAGTTAATAGCTGAAGCAGATCCTTTTGAGCTCAAAATAGATGTAACCAGGGCTGATTCAGCAGTTATAATGAAGTAACAATCTAAATATCAGTTGATCTACCTTTAAAGGATACAACATTTATATTCATGAAACACACCTTTCTTGACTTAGGATCAAAGCTGAATCCACTCTCATCCGCATTGAAAATGCGAGATGGGTCGCATAGAAGGGTGGGGTCCTGGGAATCCATGTGGTTTTTCAGGTCGCGAAACCATCTTTCCACATTTGGGGGAGTCACGAGGGCTCGCTCCTTCCCCAGCGACATCGGTGTCCTCAGGGTGAGCTCCGGGTGACGCTCGAAAAAGCGGTAGACCCATGCAGTGGAAGGGAGGTTCGAGGGGTCTTTCGTGGTCCCTCCACGTAGCTCCAGGATGGCCTTCGCCATGGCCCTGATGTCGTCCGTGGTCTGCCCAAAACCCAGCTCGGCCATTTTCAGCAGCCACTTGAATAGCCTTTCCTCCTCGTGCCGCGTCAGCAGGGTGCAAGGCACATACTCAACTGGGGTCTTCCCGTGAACCTTGTCCGACAGGGTGGACACCGCTATTCCAAAATGCTTTGCGGCCTTCCTCAGCCCCATGGCTTTCGAACATATGGCCTCGATGGCCTTTTCCAGTACGGCCACGTCATGCTTGGCCTTTTTCTTCCCCGTTGCCTTGGTAGTTGGTGTCGGAGCCATTATTGTCTGGGGGGGAGGGGGTGTAGAGACGCACACTTTTTTTAAGGACCCCTAAACAATGATTTAATGACAAATAGATTCTAGCTGCTGAGATTTTACATTGAAAGGCTAATTCTAAAATAATATACACATATATATATATACATATATCTTAATTGCAATAAAAGTTCATCGAGAGTATTGCACATTTCCCTTTCACCATCATCGTCATCATCATAACCGCCACCACCACCTTCACCACCATCACCATCACCACCACCACCATCATCATCATCATCAGCAGCAGCACCACCATCACCACCACCATCATCACCACCCCCATCACCATCATCACCATCATCAGCAGCAGCACCATCATCATCATCATCACCACCACCACCATCATCATCATCATCATCATCATCATCATCATCATCATCATCACCATCATCATCATCATCATCACCAGCAGCAGCAGCAGCAG